GGTGAACATTGAGGCCAGTGAATGCTGGCATGTGTATTTTGTAAAAGGCCTTCAAGGAAGAGAAGCCAGGCCCTGCCTCAGACAACACAAGAAGCTTAGTTTTTGTCCCTAAGCTGTTCTTAAAAAAACAAACAACAAAACACACACCAAAAACTTAAATTCCATTAAAAATAAAATATCTTTGTGTTTTGAACAAAGAAATTTTCAACATTTGATTGGTTTTGTTTTATTCTGAAGCCTAGGACATTCTTTCAAGTCTGTAAGCTCCCTATTTTATGCCGTTCTAATTCTTGATGTTTGGGTATTTTGCAAGTGTGTGCATGTTTTTTAAAACGTGTGTGACTAAAAGAAAATAAAGCAGGGACTGTGAAACATTTGTTTTGTTCTGTTGACAATCTCTCTTAACTTATTTCTTAGCTTTGAGTATAATGCTTTTATCAAGTGCTGTTTTGTTCTGTTGACAATCTCTCTTAACTTATTTCTTAGCTTTGAGTATAATGCTTTTATCAAGTGCTTTTTATTCATTAAATAATGGACTTGCTCCTTAGAGCTAGTGTGCAAGCAAGTATTGGTTATATATTAGAACACTGAGGCCACAAAGGTAAAGTGGACTTCGTAAGGTTGCAGAACAGAGTGGTGGAGTGAGGGCTCTGTTCTTGCATTTTCTGATTACTTGTTTTTCATCACATTCTCTACTAGGCACTTAAGAAATGATGAGGAGCAAAGCAGAGATGATTCTTATGGAGGATAGATAGATGATCAAACACAAATTCATAATTACAAACTGACAAACCCTTGTGAAGAAAGAGGACCGTCCTCTGATGTTATATATTGGACAGTACTTACTGGACTTAATCTGCAAGGGAGCTGGGGAAAGGGTCAGTGAAGGAAGTGACTTTAGAAAAAAAAAATTTTTTTTTAATATCGATTTCAGAGAGAGGGAGGGAGGGATAGAGATAGAAACATCAATGATGAGAGAGTCAATGAATAGTTGCCTCCTGCACTCCCCCGACAGGATTGAGCCCACAACCCGGGCATGTGCCCTGACCGGGAATTGAACCTCGATCTCCAGGATCATAGGTTAATGCTCAGCTGCTGAGCCACACCAGCCAGGCAGGAAGTGACTTTTGAGTTGAGCTCTGTAGGAGTTACATAGATGGCAGGGGGTGGTGGCCAGAGAGCATTCCAACTAGAGAGCATAGTGTGTGAAAAGCCCCGGGACAGGCTGGGGCTTGACATGAAGGGAATTCAAAGAGTAATGTGGACAGTATACAACATAGGGCTACAGAGGAAAAGTACAGAACAAGGTGAGGCTTTATAAGCCTTTCAAAGCTTTTGGCTTTATCCTAAAATGAAGGGAAGACTGGAGTGTGAGAAACATGCTTAGATTTGTATTTTGGGCTGAGAATGAACTGCTGAGGGCTGTAAGGGTGTGAGAGAAAACCTGAGTCTCTTGTAGTCCAGGCAAAAGATGATGGCTTGGGCAAGGGTGGTGATGTACCAACATGGATGAAGGTGAGAGATTTAGGTGGGGAAGTCAACAGTGCTAAGTGAGTGCCATGGTTCTCCCACTGTTCTCTGGAGTATACATCTTGTCTTCACTTAGTTAATCCCTGTTCATCCTTCAGGTAACAGTTCAAGGTTTCTGTCTCATGGAAACCTTCCAGGACCTCAGACTCAATCAAACCCTATTGTGTGCCCTCTTGTTCTACCTGTACCTCTCCATGTCATACTGCACAGTCAGAACGTGTGATTACTGGGCTAGCTCTGATAGTGCAGGGGTTTTGTCTGCTATGCTCACCCTTAATGTTTTCAGCTACATGCTCAGGTCAGTGCATTACACATAGGTGGCTTACTGAATGAATGAGTAGCTTAAATATTGGGGTGGGTTGCGGGATGATTGTGCCAGTCATTTAATATGGGAAGATCTGTAAGACCAGGTTTGAGGAAGATGATAGCTCTGTTTCAGACATGGTCAGGTGGGTGTGCTTGAGACATCCAAGTGGGAGCATCTATGGGCAGTTGGATACTTAGGCCTGCAACTCAGAGGAGAGGTCTGGTGTGGAAATGATAAATGTGGGGGTCGTTCAGCATGAAGATGGCTGTGGAAATGGTGAGATGGAGGTTGTGATGGTTGAGGGTGCCTAGGAAGGGTGCCGAGTAAGAAGAGACCCAGAACTGAACATTAGGACTTCCAAGTACAGTAGCCGCTTGGAGCACAGCACTGCACACAAGTTGAGAAAATGGCCAGTGAGATAAGAGAAAGTCCAGGACCATGTGGTGTCAAGGAAGCCAAGTGGCAAGATGTTTCAAGGAGGAGCACTCAGTGAGTGCTGCTGAGAGTTGTCAAGCAAAAGGAAGAATGGGAGATGTCTGTTGGTTTTAGGACGGGTCATTGAAGTCATTCTTCGGTGACTTGAGAGCTGCTGGTGGAGTGGTGGGAATGGGGATTGGACTGAGCGAGGCTTCTTTTGATATTGACAGCATTTCACAGACAGGCTATGAAAGGGATGAGTTTGGGGTAGCTATTGGAGGATGCGCAGCTGACAGTTTTAAGGTGGAAGAGATTCAGGTATGTTAAATGCTATTGGGAAGGATTGGAGGCTGAATATAGAGGAGAGAAAATGATTGTGGCCAATGTGAGGAATTTGCAGTGGTAAGATGTGCAGCCCAGAGGACAGTGGACGGCCCGGGACTTGGATATGGACGAGGACGCGCCTTCACAATGGGGCTCCGCAGCCATAGACCTGCGTGGAGAGCCGAGTCCTGCCGGCCACTGTGACCTGAGGCAAGGCTTTTGGGCATCAGTTTCCTCATTTGTAGAATGAAGCAGTGCTGTATTAGCTGCTTGGTAGGATGGCTTTAAGGATCATGAAGTAGTGTGAAGTGGCACATTGCAGCTGCCTGTTAGTATTAGCAATTGTTTCCATTTTGTCTCATTTCTTTCCATTCCTCCAGTCATAGTGTTTGTGGCCTGAGCCTGGGCCCTTGGCATGTCCTATTCTCAAGGCTTGGAAACTGGAGGCTGCCCTTGACCAGTGTTCATATGGTGTTCTGGTGGGCCTGGCCCCACTCACACCTGGTCTCTGGTGCCTCTAGGTGGGACCAGGCCAGGCTTCCCCCTGTTCCCCTAGAATTGCCCAACTGACTTTCCCAGCAGCCCTGCAGCGCCGCTTCTGCTTCTCTAAGGTGCTTTAGGGCTGGGCCCCTGGACACCCTAGCCAGGCACCACCTTGTCCCGTGTCACCAGTTACTTCACTAGCCTGGAAAATAAAGTTGGCAAGGGTTCATGCCAGCGGGCCTCTCACAGGCCTGAGTAGGGAGCTGCACTTGTGCCCTTATGTCTCTGAAACCCATGGAGATGTCATTGGGATGCCAGGAAATGAGGCCTACTGTCCAGGGACAGAGTGCCAGCTGGGCTAGAAAAGCAGCCTATGCATGAGGCTGCACCCATATTAAAGGCAGGGTAGCTCTGTCATTCCCCAGAGCTATTGCTGTGGCTATGGCACCACCTAGGGGCGTAGGTCTGGGAACTGCCGCCCCCACCTAGACTAGAACTGGGTCGGTTCAGCACGGGAGCTGGGCTCACCCAGTGCCCTGGGCTGGGGGCTACAGTGAGGCATCCCACGCCCAGCCTTCCCACAGCCTCCTCTCATCCTTAGTTCTGGGCGTAGCATCTTTGGCCATGGGCAACCCTGCACTTCCCTAGTCCTCGATTTCCCTGTGGCAAACATGGCCTCAGTAAATTGTAGGGTAAGGGGTGAAGTAAGGCCTGTGTGTAAAGCCTTGACCACGGTCTGCCTGACCCCCCAGGCAAGATGAGGCATCCTAAGACATCCGACACCTTTCATTTGGTCACAGACCCAGTCTACCTTATCTGTGGCCCTCACAGTATGTGCATGGAGAGGAGCACTACCTCCCGGGCTTCCAGGACAGTGTTTTTATACTCCCAGGCCAGTGCCATCTGTCCAGTCTTGTCCAAGATGCCTGATCCCTGTGGCCTAGACCTGGCATTCATCATGTCCTCAGCTTTCAAGTGCCCCTACAGCCATAGGTGGTCGTGCAGCAGGCCCCTGCCCCTGAGCAGCTGGCCGCAGCCCTGCTCCTGGCTTAGAAGGGGGAAAACACAGCTGAAGAAGGAGGGCTGGGTGTCACTTTTCCTCCTCCATTTGTCTTGGAGGCTGACATGGGAGAAAACCCCAAAGGGCCGAATGCACCCTCACAGTTTCACCACAAGTATCCTGACCGGGCATCTGGTGCCGAGCTGATAGTGCAGGGCCCGGCCGCAGCCCCGCGGAAACCGTGCTGCCAGCGGTTGGGGGCAGCAGGCCCAGACAGGAAACGCCCCCGGACGTACCCCAGGGCCCATGCTCCCGGCACAGGCTTGCTGCCTCCGACCAGGCCCGGCGCCATTTTGAAGCCGGGCTGGACTCTGGGACTCTGGCCTGGGATCTGGGGACTGGTCTGTCACCTGCCTGCACAGGCTTGGGAAGTGACAGGGAGGGAAGATGGAACCTCCAGACTGGGCTAGCCAGGTGGCAGAGTGGAATGCAGCCTCTTCCCTACCATAGCCAAGCCCTCCATGGTGCCCCCAACCAAGCCCTTTAAATTCTGTTTCCATCCGGTGGTTGGTTCCATATTT